ACGTACGCCACTTCGGTTGAAAGTTAACATAGATCACGAAAGAAAATTGACCGCCGTCTATCTCGAAGCTAAGGTATTCTCATGTTGACCTTCGCATCGACTTAGCGAAGTTACTGCACACGGTTCGATATCAGATAAGAATCAATATAAACTGAAATTCGATGCTCAACTTCATCCCAAAATTCTACGCAAGGAAAAGAAAATCAAGCGAATTTGTCACGTAACGAAAATTAAATAATAAAAATGGGTCACAAAATACAATTCAAACTTGACTACTAAGCGAAAGGTAGCAATCAAGGACAAAGGATAGCACTCGGGTAGCAAAGGCGTGAACGGTAGTTTAAAGGGTTGAAAACGGATCAAGCTCGCACATTAATATTTGCTACAAATTTCCAGAAATCTGATTGCATGAAGTTTGTATCTTGAACGCATCCCCTGAATGAATCTTGCGCCGTTTGAATCGTAAGGGACAAAACTACAATTCATATGCAGACATCGAGGTTCCCAGATTACCAGAAGCATGCCAAAAATAGCGAAAATAAAAGACTCCAACTGTTGCGGTTTACACGAAAAACTGACTATGCAACGATCGGGTTTCCGGCGCAAATCTCGATAAAAATAAAATGATAAACACGCGATTCCTGTTCCTCATGAAAGGCAACATGCTGATCTATAATTTACAAGAAGGTTACAACAAGAGACGACGGGATTTCAGGGCTCAAAAACAACAATGAAAACAGATCACATATAAGATCGAAAAACCAGCAAAACTGGACGCGCTCTCGAAGAACTTTGGCCACATCAACCAGCATACAATCGATAATCACTTGGTTCTTGCTCAAGAGAAACATAAGAGATAGAACTTTAACTCATCAGAAGAGTTCAAAGCCTATCGACCGAGTTTAAGGTGTCAAATCAGCGACCAAATCGTCATTAATGAATGGTTTTCAAAAAGAGGTTTTCCAAACCCAACTCTTTAAAAGTTCGACAATCACAGAATGAAGGTTTGGATGACAAGTCAAGTCTTGAATTTATTCGATAACAACTTAGCCATAAATAACAAAAGAAGAGGGTATCAATAACTCAACAACAGAGTTCTAATACCCACGAAGAATTTCACAAGACAAACTAACGAGAAATGAACGGATAATAACGAACAAATTATAACATGGGGAAAATCAGCCATTAACCCGATTCCAACGAATCTACACGCACAAGTGGTCGGATCATCGACATGAAACCGACACTTAGACTCCACTCTCAGTTCCCATTGACCGGGTTCTACACGCGTCTAATAGTTCTAGCCACAATAGTAACAGACTTCCGAATAATCCATACACCTGGGACTCCTTCGGTTGTCTGTTCCCTTTACTTAAGCCTTCTCTTTCGAGATGGCTTACGAATGATTCTCACTCGATGGCACTAAACAGAAACTCATAACGAGTGCACTGCTATAGACCAAACTTAACTCGATAACACCAACCCGAAAACTCACTACAAATATTTCTAAAGTTGGAACTTAACTCTATGCCACTAGAGTTCAAGTCCGTACAAACGGAGGGTAAATTCCTAAGCCCCAATAAAAGAATATCACGATATCGATAATAATCAAAACAATAAAACTCATACCTTGAGCTGGCGCGGCGAGACGAAAGCGAGTGGTCGAATGGTCATTAAACACTTAGTCACATATGAACCAGTCTACAGAAAAGCAAGACTAGCTCTGATACCAAACTGTAACGCCCTGTTTTATTTTAAAGAATTTACAGAATTTATTTAATAAAAATCAAAGTTATATATTTTTTTTAAATCCAAATTAAAATAGAGGAACTGGCGCTACTCACTAACAACAGCAAACAAACACATCCAACAATTCAAAGAACCTACACCTGCTCGAGCTATCAAAATAACCAATCCCATGAAAGAACATAAGTCTCAAAATCATTCTCAAATCGTCTAGCATAAATCAAGGTTCAAACGTAACTCAAACATAATTCGAAAGAGAAGAAATAAATAATCCAAATCGACAGAAGCATTAACAATCCAAAACAAAAGCAAATAGTTTAACATAAATAAAATCAAGCGGAAGCAAAAGACACATCCAGTAACTGACCACCATCTCGCTCATCTTTACGCCACCGCCTCCAGCTCGTCTCAACCTAAAGCAAAGGAAGAGAAGACACAACAAAGAAAAATAATGGGGGTGAGCATAACCAACAAGCTCACCATTATCGCACAGTTTATCTCGCATAACATTTTAAAACATCATAACCCTAGTACTCAGTATGCATGGAATCCAACAGTCTAACTCCCTACTTGGCCCTATCGCAAACCTCCTATGTACATACAACAACCTTACGATCACACACGGCAAGGAAGTAACTGGAAACCTTCCCATCACCGAATGGCTACGGGTCTGGGATCCTGTCCAGGAGACAGTAGAGATGTTTTTCCCCTTCACGAATATCATACGGACCGGGGCGTCACCTCTCCGAATCTACGGGCCGGTGACCTCTCACTGTTTATGCATTCCTCAAAGGCACTAACATACGGGACACTTAGACTAGGGTTCTCACGCATACATCATTTTTCAAACAAAGCATTTATACGAAATATTAAGTGCGATAAATATGGAATACATCATAAATGTACCCACCTGGAAATTTCGGATTGATGATAGCAAATCAGAAAAGATGTGGATCGAGGCTTGACTCCTCAAACACCTACATTATGTCAAGATCCTACAATCAATATCTATCTTGACTTTAATCGGAAATCACAAAAAAGACCTAGTCGAACTTGTTTCGACTAAGTAGTTCGTGAAGTCCTGTGGAGTTGGAACACTAAGACTCAGCTCTTAACTTGACCAAAACACATACACCAGATCACATAAATCCATCTAAGGATTGACCAAGTCAAAACTCACACCAAAACGAAAAGCACAAGTCGATTCCCAACTTTCATTTCAAAATCATGTTTCGAAAATAACAATCATTAATCACATGAAAATAGAAGGTCAGGCTACCCTACGACTTAAGCTCTGAAATTTTACACAAAATTACATCTCCCAGAAACATGTAAAACCACAAATTTTCAGTTTCAAACTCGAAATACACTATTTTATAAAATTCAAACAAGATATTAACAAAATGGGAACATCAATTCATACTTGAACTTAATGAACGAATCAGAACTTGTAAATTTAACACAACAACATACAGCATGCTAAATTCCATGTATAAAAATCTCAGCCCTGAATATTGACTGCTACTATATTTAAAAATTCATACGATATTCAGCAGTTTATCAAATTTAAATCAAAACCGAAACAAAATGGACTCTGAAAATTCCCATATTTTAAAAGTATGATTCAACACATAAATTAGGCATCTCAATAAAATTTCAGAATTTTTCACAAAATAACCAATTTAAAAAAATTCAAACAACGCTCAGCAGATTTGGTAATAAAAATAATTAACCACATCACATCAAATCCAAAAATTCTAAAAATTGAACACAACATATAAAAACCTTAGAGGCATTACATATTTGAATTTTAGCTCATTTGGTTCACGAATGAATTTATTATGCAATTAACACTATTCTGATCAGATTTCATTATAATTATTAAAAACAGCTACAGGTTTCTAAAAATCACGAAAATTTTACATAAGGCTTACGATGAACAGACAACATCACCCTCAAATTTTCAAAATGTTTCGAGCAGCGAGCTATTTTTAAATATTCAACTACCAAAACAGCGACAATTAAGCTCGACAATTTAACGATTAATTTAAACACACGTAATTTCTCGTCCGAGGCCTTTTCATAAGACCCAGGGCTCGACATTGTTCCAACATCCACCGACTTACACGACTTCGAGGTCTTGTTCGATTCTTTAGAAAATCGAAGAGGTCTCGAACATACGATAACACATAAAATCATAATGAACACATAATCGCACATATTCACATCTAGCGATTCACACATATATTACATTGTTCAACGAGCACTTCACGACAATAAACACATAACGAAACAAATCATATACGAGTTAAGCGAGACGGAAAAACGACGAGGTACCGTTCCCGGGAAAAACTCGGAAAACGAAACGAAAAAGACGAGGCGAACTCGCGGGCTAAAGCTCGACGGCAAGCGTCGTCTCGCGAGGAGGAGGGCTGCTCGTCGCTGAGGTGCTGCTGCTAGGTCGTCGCCGAGAAGCTGCGCGAGGAGGAAAGGATCACAGCAGGTGGAGTTCTCATCGTCAGGGCTCGCGGGCTGCTCGAACGGCAAATAGAAATCGCCGGAACTCGCTGCGAGGGGTCGCCGGAGATCGCTGCGCGAGTTGCTGTGCGTTGGTTGCTTCCCGCCGGCGATGATGGTGGTGAAACGAGGAGGGTGATCGGACAGGGGTGATGATGATGCTGGTTGACGGAAAAAAAAATCAGAAAAGAACTGAGCAAGAGAGTCGATGGTCGCGACCGTTTGAGAGAGAAGGAGAGAGATGGTGAGATCGGTCTCTGCATTTGGAAAAGAAAAAGGGAGTCTGCGGGATGTTATGAACGAGAGAAAATTAGGGATGCGATTATCTGCACATTTAAGGCTAGGTTTTTGGCAAAAAGGGCCGAACCGGTTTTGGGCCATTGGGCCAATTCGCGACATTAAGTTGGCTCACGGGCTCGGGTTCAGTTCACGCGGGTAATTTCGAGCTCGATATCAATTCCAACGCACAATAAAAATAAATCGAACAATATATTTATTTTACATATATACTAATACCCTTTATACACATTTATGAATAATAAAAATAAATCATTTAGACATTTAGACAATTAGCATTTAATCACATTTAGGCAAATAAGGTTTTACGGTCAGGCCCGCACCCCAGCGAGCAATCATGACAATGAAGTGAAATGGCAACTGTGTAAAATCTGACACATGAACAGGTTAAAGCACTGGAACGAAGTAGCTCGACTTCAAGGTTCACTTTCTTAGCCTAGTCTGTTAACGGAGGAGAAAGAGCAATCTCCCCACCGGCCAATCTATTCTGATGAAGATCACAGGTCCCGAGAGGTGAGAGGAATCAGATGGCAGTTCGATTCCTTCTACTTCCACTGAAGGGACTCTCAAAGTGCGTAATGTAGTTGTAGTTAAGGCTGCATTGAAGTAGCGCTTTTTCTTTTTTTTTTGAAGATCTACTAAAGTACCAAAGGCGAACGGGGCTCCCAGGAATTAAGACATTTCAAAAATAATATAATATAAATATTATCACAAAATAATATCATCCCATAAATAATAATAATAATAACAATAAAAATAATAATAATATTCTTCAATAATCCACAAATAAACGGGGCACTACATTGGAGCTCTCGGTTCAAGGTTCGAACGAATAGGGTTCAAAAGGATAACCAAATACTCCAGCATAAAACGGTTTCAACCGTTCAAGAAAGACATCGATGGTTCGGGGTTAGTGCATTGTCACCCAAGATGCAGCACGCTCGCTGGCGCTGCATAAGCGGGGCGCTGGGACGCGCGCATACACACCTACTCGGAGACCAGCTGCAAGGTCGAGGTTTGGCCACATACGCTGGCTCGGGTAGTTCTTGCGTACGGTGATGACGGCTGTAGCTCTCGTGCGAGTCAACGGTCGGCCCCGTGGTTGGCCTCACGTCTCACAGCACGGGCGTGCGTGCTTAGCCACCATTTTGCATGGCTACACCCGGCCAGGGCCGGCTTTCAGTTTTGGTTCCACAAGGAGGTTTCAATCCTAGATCATCAAACGAAATGGTTTTACAACTAAAAAGAAAATTTGGGTTCAACAAGATAATATGTCATTCAGCCATTTTAACATTTTCAAAAGTTTCAAGAGTTTTAGAAATAGCAAGGTGCAAGTCCGAGTTCCAAGTCCACTACTTTCCAAAACGACACACTATAATATGTGAAGAGATCACACGCTTGTGATAGACGAGAATTCTCAAAAGAATTCAAATACGGTTTTCCAGACCGGAGTAATCCCAAATCAATAGCTCCTGCCTGGAACTACAACAACTAGCTCGCCTCGACTCTCCGTCAAACAGTGTCGGCTGTCACGTCAGTTCTTACCCAAGTAACTAACCGTGCCAATAGTCCTGTTCGACCGCAACTCCCTTCCAAATCTTCACACTTTGGAATTTGAACGCGAAGTTCCTCCCGGGATTCCGAAAGGAGTAAAAGAACAAAAATTTCTTCGATGAACAAAAGTTAGAATAAGGACGTTTCTGCACTACGCGACGTGCTTGCTTCTGACTCGAGTATCCTCCTTAAAAGACTTCTGCATAATCTTTTAAGGTGGAAGAGCACTCCATCTTCTTATCGAACTGAATTGTGCTGGCTTCAGCTCTTGCGCGTTTATCCCGATGCCGAGCGCGAACAATTATTGTCCCCCTTGAGGTTAGGTTATTCACAAAATGCCGATAGAAAAATTTTGCACTCGAGTCTTCGTGATATTTTAGCAATGGCATTCGAATGAAACTCTCATACTTCGCAAGCGAATAAAGATAAGCAGAAACAAAAAGATGCTTAATCTCACTTGAAATCAGGTTTTTCAAAACAAAGTCATTTCCCAACATAAGATAAACCAGAATTAGCTAAACTTCAGGAGAAGCGAATTTTAAAGTTGGGAAGCCTAAAATAGTTTACACAACGAATCAAAAGTAGGGGAAGATGAAGCGAAATCCTCAAAATACGAAAATTGGATAACAAAAAGAAGCCTCAAGCACACTTCAAAATTGTTTGCCATGTGAATGAGAAGAAGGTTTGCAAGAGTATACAAGAAGACAAGAATTTAAGAAAGGAAGCACGACTGCTTTGCCTTCACGAGTCCACGATTCACTGTTTTCATCATCGGTTCAAGTTGTTCCTGGTAAGTCCCCCTGTCACTGGAATCGCTTGCGGCTCAAAATACGGAAGAGAATTTTTGACATCTCCTCCAAGACAGAAATGTCACTCGAAATCGTAGCATAAACTATTCACGCGGGGCCGGATCGGTCTATCCGCTTTAAGAACAAGGTCGGATTCCTTCACTGAGAGTTTTCGCAAAAGAATAGGTCATTATCGTCTTTCTCGAGGCCTAGCCATTCTCGAGAGTCGCGACAGTGTTACGCATTAAGTTTCCCCAACACTCCTCGGGGTCGGACATTAAGTATGCACAAGGCACCCAGACTCTACTCCAGCTCGCACTCGACTGGGGGTCAAATACACCTCTAATGGTCTTAATAACCGGTCTCATAGAACGACTACCACTTGCTTTACTCCGCCGTCGTGCCCGCCTTGCTTAACCTGAAACGTTAATTTCAGGTGGGGATGAGCACAGTTGAAAATCGTAGTTGTAACACCCCGCCTACTATAACTTTGACTCATGGAAAACTGGGTAAAATTTTCGCGGTTATTTTCGAAATATACTGCAACTGTTTTCGAAAAACGTTTAAACTTACTAACTTGCGGGATGCTACTTACTTACTGACTTACTTTTCTGTTTCTGATACTTATGCACGTACCCAAATCAACATATAAAATTCGACTGGGGAAAATATAGATGAGGGACAATTAGACGTGTATACATACTAGGTCTAGGTTGGCAGTACGGAAGCGTAAAATAAAGTACAGTACAATATGAAATTATTATACAAGCCAACATAACATAAACATAAACAAATGTCCAGCTGACTCGGACACCACCACACCACCATGCTCATGCTCACAAAGTCCATGGTCAGCTTCTCCCACTTCCACTGCGGGATCTCTAAAGGCTGTAAGAGTCCCGGTGGAACCTTGTGCTCGGCCTTCACTTGCTGGCAAATCAAGCACTTTTCGACAAACTCGGCGACGTCTCGCTTCATCCCTTTCCACCAAAACGACCTTTTCAGGTCGTGGACATCTTGGTGCTACCGGGGTGCGCCAAGTATGGAGCACTGTGCGCCTCTGTCAAGATCTCCTTCTTCAGGGCCTCGACGTTTGGCACCACAATCCTTCCCTTGTACTCCAAAGCACCATCTATGCCTCGGTAAAAGCCCTCTACTCCTCCGGCATGAATCTTTGCCCCCATCGAGCGAACGAACTCGTCGAAGGCTTGATCCCGCCGGATCCTGTCTCGTAGCGTGGGCCACACTCTCATAGCTCGAATACCTCCCACAACTGGCAACTTAGGAGGTGATTCGACCACTTCTAGCTGCATCCGAGCGAACTCATGAATCAACTGACGCTGTTGAGTGATCATACAGGTCAGCTCGCCCTTTCCCTTACGGCTGAGGGCGTCGGCAACTACGTTCGTCTTGCCCGGATGATAGTTAATGGTACAGTCATAATCCTTCACTAGCTCTAACCATCGCCTTTGACGCATGTTGAGCTCTTTCTGGGTGAAGATATACTATAGGCTCTTGTGGTCGGTATAACTTTCACATCTGCCGCCGTACAGATAATGCCTCCAAATCTTCAGGGCGTGAACCACTGCTGCCAACTCAAGGTCATGAGTCGGGTAGTTCTTCTCGTGCGGCTTTAGCTGTCAAGAAGCATAAGCCACAACCCTGCCTTCTTGCATCAGTACGCAGCCTAGACCCAACTTTGAGGCATCACTGTAAATAGTGAAACTCTGAGTGGGATCTGGTATAGTCAACACTGGCGCCGTCGTAAGCCTTCCTTTGAGCTCTTGGAAGCTCGCCTCACAACGGTCACTCCATTCGAACTTCACCGATTTCCACGTCAATCGAGACAAGGGTAGGGCTATCCTGGAAAACCCCTCGATGAAATGCCTGTAATAGCCAGCTAATCTGAGGAAACTACGAACCTCTGTGGCATTCTTCGGTGCTGACCAGTTCTGGACTGCCTCGATCTTCGATGGGTCAACCTCTATTCCTCCCGCCGTAACAATGTGGCCAAGAAAAGCCACTCGATCAAACTAGAATTCACATTTGGAGAACTTGGCATAAAGCCTCTCCCGTCTAAGAGTCTGCAACACGATCCTCAAATGCTCCTCGTGCTGCTCCGGACTACGATAATAGACCAAGATGTCATCAATGAAGACGATAACAAACTGGTCTAGAAAGGGATGGAAGACACGATTCATGAGATCCATGAATACCGCCGGTCCATTGCTTAACCCGAACGGCATACAACGAACTCATAGTGCCCGTATCGAGTTCTGAAAGCGGTCTTGGCCACATCGGCCTCCTTGATTCTCAGCTGATGGTAACCAGAGCGGAGATCGATCTTGGAAAACACTCTGGCACCCCTCAACTGATCGAACAGATCTTCTCTCCTGGGGAGAGGATATTTGTTCTTCACCGTCAACCGGTTTAGGTCCCGATAGTCGATGCACATTCGCATGGTCCCATCCTTATTCTTGACAAAGAGGACAGGTGCTCCCCAGGGTGAAGCACTCTGTCGAATGAAACCAAGCTTGAGTAACTCCTGAATTTGAGTTTTCAGCTCCTGCAGCTCATTCGGGGCCATTCGCTAAGGTGCCTTCGAGATTGGTCCTGCCCCTGGAACCAGATCAATTGTGAACTCCACTTGGCGATTCGGTGGTGCCCCAGGTAACTGCTTCGAAAAGACTTCGATGAAGTCGCGCACCACTGGGATGTCTCTGGGCGTCCGCTCCTCCGATGAGTCCCCGACGATGTTCACCAGGTAGCCCTGACAGTCCTCCTTCTGCAGATATTTGGTCGCTTTCGCCATTGAGATGACACGTGACAAGGTTCTAGCCTTCGTTCTGAAGAACGTAATTTTCTCTCCCCCAGTCATCTGAAGCGTCACCTCTCTGTCTCGGCATCGAATGTCCGCGTGGTACTTCGCCAACCAATCCATTCCGAGTATGAGGTCGAAGTCTCTCATCTAGATCACAAACGCATCGACCGCAAGAGTTTTTTCGCTAATATCAAGACTAAGGTCCTTGGCCAAAGAGTGCGTCACTATCTTCCTCCCTGAGGCTAGGCTGATCTCAAGGGGGTCGACAGTGCTCACTCCCTAGACATTTTCATCTTCGACACTTTGTGGGGACGAACGAATGGGTCGTCCCAGTGTCAAAAGGGCAAACT